GGATGGATGGATGGATGGATGGATGGATGGATGGATGGATGGATGGATGGATGGATGGATGGATGGATGGATGGATGGATGGATGGAAATGAAAATAATAACGCTGGAAAAAAATCTTCCTTTAAAGGGTAGCTGCAGCAGGCTGTAATTAACATTCCCTTAAATTGGGCATATATTTTCTGAATTTCCAATAAGGATAGTTTAGTTTTCCGCTGCAGGTAAGATACTAACAGCTTTTAACAGAACCTAAATTTAAAAGGAAAACTATCAATTATTTACCCCTTTATGTTCCAAGTCAAGCAAATTTAGATAAGCTCGCTCTTAATTTACCTGAAACCCTTTATTTTGTGTTGAAACAGTGTGTGGACCGAGGAAGGGACTTGTGCTGTTGTCAACTCCACGGTCATAAGGGATATGAACTGTTCATACAGCTGCGGGTCAGACTGCTGGAGGGTGTCCAGATACCCCTGTCTGCAGGTCTACGTGAGCGTCAACATCACGGGCCGTATCAGCCGTCTGTCACACAACGAAGAGACACAGGAAGCTAGCTCCGAAGTAAGTTCAGTGCCAGAGTGAAAACACTGGGAACTGCTGAACCGTATAAAATGTAAACAGCAGGAGTCACATGTTGCCCTGGTGACCGTCCAATCACGGCTCAGAAAGGGGCTGTTAGTATTCACTGTTGTGGAAAAGTGGATCTTGGCTGCAGTCACTAACAACTGAATGGACATCATGTCCCGTATAACCTTCAGTCCTCTCCTTGCAGTGTGTCTATGTGCCTCGGTGCCAAAAGGACAGCACGGCCATGCAGGCCGTTATCATGAACATTTCCGAGCATCTGAAGATGAACCGGCACATCTCCTGCTACTACGACCCCAGCGAGCAGCAGGAGACGGTCCTGCTGAGCAGGGTGTACGACCACAGCGTCGTCCTCCACTCGTTGTTGTGGCCCTCGTGCACGCTCACAGTGGGGACCCTCATCATTGCCATGGTGAAGCTCACACACTACCTCTCCAGGCTTTGCGAAGAGATAGGGAAGGTCAAGAGGTGAATTATTCGCAGCAGCTCTGCAAGTCAGAAACACGCAGGTTTTGGTGATTGAAATCTGACAAAAAAATACATTTTAAAATGTGAACCTGCTGTGACCTTAAGCAGACTTCCCCCTCCTGGCTCAGACTCTCTTCCACTGAGCAATGAGGATGTATTTGTTTATAAAAGCGGACTGGATGTTCCTGGCAGGAAGCTGACAGACATGGAACTGGCTGTTCCTGAGAAAACAAAGATTTTCTTCTGCATAGTTTTATAACGTAACAAGCACTTGTTTGCACGTGTCTTATTATCCAAAACACTTTATGATCAAATGTTTGGTTTTTTTTCCTGTTACTTAAAGTCACTGTTAATCATGTTTGTTTTATCAGAAGCAAATGGTTTTTGTTAACCTTTGCTTTGCACAGACTTTCTGCAGCCCCAGGCTAATTTTCCGATCCAATCCCTGGATGGGATTCCTCTTTAAAAAAAAAAAAAATCACTAAAGCTGTTCTGAGTGCAAATGTTACCTTGGAGGCCAACTGCTGAAGGGTTCGCTACCGAAAGAAGAAAAATAAATACAAAAGGAAAAAGAA